TCAGTATATATATATATGTATTAATGTATATAAGTTAATCTGGAGGAGCCAGTTTGAATGAGTCTGATACTGCTTATAAAATGAATAATAGCAATGTTATCTATAATTAAGAGGTGCTATGCTTAAGTTTGCCAGTAGTAGAGATGCTGGATAATCAGCCAGTACAAGCACAGACTGAGTTAAAGCAACATTAAGTAGTGTTTTTTAACAGCTTCAAAATTATTTCAATGGTACACTGACTTAGAAAAGGGTGTCAATTGCCTCGCTGCGCCTGCGAGCTTTCTATGGCACTATGTAGAATTGAAAACAATTGATAGAATGTACAATGTAATTTCTTTGGAAGAAGTTAGCTCGGTATTCTCAGTATGAATATCATGGCAGACGCTGTAAAGAGCTATAACAAGATGTTGGAGGAAGAGAGAAACAGAAAACCATATATCATGATATATGGTAAGCCACACCTTGTAATTGTGGCATTGCTTTTGTGCAGAAAGATAATGTCAAAAGATGTATTTTAATATGTATTATTTTCATACACATATACAGTATATCACATATAGTTCTTTTTATAAATGCATTTGTAATAAAGTGTTTACAAGCCACATTACCAGTGACAAAAGTGAATAAAACTCAGAAGTAAGTAGACTGTTTATAGTAAAATAAAGCTCCCTGAAACAACATCTGAATGTGACCTAGTGTCTACATAACACTATTTATATTACAATGGATTACAATCATTCTGCACAAAAGAGGTTCTTCAATGACAGGGTGTGACTTACCATAAATCATCAGATAAATATTCTAAGGTGACAACAGAGCCCTTTGATGGTGTGTGGAGAAGGACGGGTGTGTCCTGCCAATCCAGTTTTTATTTGAAAAGAGAGTGACTGCAGGTGGGGCCAGCCTTTCTGCTGTCATCAAACCTTGCACAGACTCAGATCCCCCTCGTCTTGGAGAAAATCTGGGGAGGAGAGTCACAGGGGTTCTGGAGTGATTCCAAGGGAGATTGTGAAAAAAACAAATGACAGTTTGCAGCTAAGGTTACCTTCACTTCACCGTCTCCACCGCGGCCGTGATCTCTGCTGGCCGCGGTGCGTGCGTGTGCGCCCGCATGTGTGAGTGTGTAGGAGTCAACAAACGTAGACAGCAGGCAGAGACTGCAGCCTGTTAATAAACAGTTCATCCTCGGGCCGGTTTAATACGAAATAACATTAGTTTTTTTATTCATCGTGTTTGAATCAGGAAGAAGATTGTAGGACATTTTAAGCACTGCATAGATATTAGCTCAGCTACAGCCACAGCAGCAGAATTTTTTTCAGGCTTGTTTGTTATGCTTTAAAGCACATCATTAAGTCTGGACAACACCTGCTTTTATTTTGTGCCATAGATAGCTTACCGTTACAGTACTGTTAGCAGCTCAGAAAATATGTGGTATAATCCTTTCCCAAGTGAAATAATTTACTTATTTTTCAGTGGTGAATGTCTATGTCTACATTTGCAAAATGCTAACTTTTTTGTTGAATTAAATGTTATTTGTCTTATTTAATATCTGTTTCTACAACACATGAGTAATAGGGTATAAGCAGTACAGGAGAGACTTAGTGTTCTCTTCAGTGAAATAAAAAGAAATGGGTAAATATCGGCATCGGTCAAAATGAGTTTTAACATATGGGCATATCGAATATCGGCCAAAATCCACGGATCTCCAGGCTCCTGTCTCCACCTATGTTCCCATCAAGGTGGAGTGATTTACAGATCTAGGGTTTCCCCCAGTCTCTCCTTTGGAGCCCAACCTCACCACCTTCTTCGGTGTGAAGCCAGGTCATACAGTGACCGCACGACCCCGTCCTGACCTCCTCTGGAGCGCAGTGGGTGGCTCATATCACAGATAAAACCCACCAATGCGCATTCCAGAATTCTGCCTCCGCCAATAACACAGTCCTGATTGCCTCCTCCCTCACTAAGCAGTCAGCAAACTCCACCACCATGACGGAGGAAAAGAAAGAGGAAATCAGCAAAGGGGCCAGCGCGCAGCTCACCGAGTGTGCCGCTTCAGCTGTCACTACCGCCCGGATTAGCATCTGGCAGTTGCGGGTCCATCTGGTGCTGTGGCTCCAGCAGTTGATCATCCCCAAAGTCACCAGGAAGGAGCTGGTTGAGGCCTGGTGAGCCCGGATGGACTCTTCGGACCTCATTTCTGTACCCTGGTGGACACCGTGAGGTCCTCGGCTCAGGAGGCAGAGAGCATCAGGCTGCATGTGGGCTGGACTCGGCCCCCCTCCCGCCCTCCCCACTCCCCGGTGTGTCGGCGGCCAGCTTCAATGTCACAAGCAGATAATTTCCTATTCGGCCCACCACTGTCTCTATGGAGTCAGTGGCTGCCGTCACACTGCGCGGACAGGCTGTAGCTGGCTGAACGGCCTTTATGCAGCCTGGCTTTGATGTCAGAAGTATTGAAGCACCATATCCTCTGTTGCTAATCCCTGCCTCTTCCCCCTAAACGGGGGAGCAACATGGTTATGAGCCCACGAGTGTGGCTGCCCCACCTCGTGCGGGCCCCCTAGTGACTTTGTCTGCGCTCCTCTCCACTCCCAGAGGCTCACCTACCTAGGTGTGGTTATGCGGCTCTCTCAGGAGAGGGTGGATGCTCTGATGGATCATGAGGCTTCTGGGCCTCATGTCCCCACCACTTTTCAACACAAAGTGACGCCCTTGGGTAGGGCTTGCCATGCCATAGAGACAATGATGATGATTAGTTCAATTAAGGTCAGTGATTGTACCATAATCATGACGCTATCATAAAGTGAGACTGTCACCTACTGCTGGTGGTCACTCACTGTCATACAGCGCTGCATATGTTTTTGTAGCTAGCATAGTTTTCTAATGCAGTCTTAACTTTGGCTAACTGTTCTAATGGCTGACTAGGTGAGGTTATTTTGTCAGCATTGCATTGGCTAATCCCATGCTGCTGTGAAAATGACTTGTACTTGAGTATGTACTCCATGCCATCTCTGATCACCATTGAGTCAGTAAATGAGTGCAAATGAGTACACTGATTCACTTGCACTGGTACACTTATCCACGGCACATACCATTCAGCTGGTTTGGGGGAGTATTACAGTAGGTACACATATTTATGGAAGGATCACATATTGGGGGGGTGGTGATGGAGCAGTGGATAAGACACATGCCTTTGGTGTGAGAGACCGGGGTTCGAATCCACTGTGAGATACCAATGTGTCCCCTAGTGTTTTTTTAACAGCTTCAAAATAATTTCAATGGTACACTGACTTAGAAAAGGGTGTCATTGCCTCGCTGCGCCTGCGAGCTTTCTATGGCACTATGTAGAATTGAAAACAATTGATAGAATGTACAATGTAATTTCTTTGGAAGAAGTTAGCTCGGTATTCTCAGTATGAATATCATGGCAGACGCTGTAAAGAGCTATAACAAGATGTTGGAGGAAGAGAGAAACAGAAAACGAGCGTGTGACTGAGCAAGCTCACCATATATCATGATATATGGTAAGCCACACCTTGTAATTGTGGCATTGCTTTTGTGCAGAAAGATAATGTCAAAAGATGTATTTTAATATGTATTATTTTCATACACATATATATCACATATAGTTCTTTTTATAAATGCATTTGTAATAAAGTGTTTACAAGCCACATTACCAGTGATTACATTACGTAGTGTTTTTTTATCTTAAAATAACAGCTTCAAAATCATTTTGATGGTACACTGACTTTTAATAGGGTGTCATTGCCTTTCTGGGCTGGACTTCAGCAAAACTCTTCAGCAAGCAAGCGATAAGAAGGAACAAAAAGTATTCAATGAACATTGTAAGTTCTTTGGAAGAAGCTAGCTCGGTATTCTCAGTATGAATATCATGGCAGAGGCTGCGAAAAGATCGAACAAGAAGGAAGCAAGAAAGAGAAAAGGAGAAAGTGACCGAGCAAGCTCACCATATGTAATGATATATGGTGAGCCACACCTTGTAATTGTGGCATTGCTTTTGTGCAGAAAGATAATGTCAAATGATGTATTTTAATATGTATGATTTTCATACACATATATATCACATATAGTTCTTTTTATAAATGCATTTGTAATAAAGTGTTTACAAGCCACATTACCAGTGACAAAAGTGAATAAAACTCAAAGTAAGTAGACTGTTTATAGATAAAGTATTTGAAATGAGGCCAATGCCCTCAAAAAGCCTATTCTATTATGAGGTGGTATGTGAGTATCCATGTCTTTGAGCTCCCTGAAACAACATTTGAATGTGACCTACTGTCTACATAATACTGCTTATATTAACCCTTAAGAGTTCCTTAAAAAAAACTCACGCAAAATGGCTCCTTCCCAAAAACTGCTGTAAAAATATAATATAAATTAATATTTTTTTCCACTTTAAATGACTCAATCTTTCAAAGCTACTTCAGCCTGAAATATACATATCAAACATGAACATTTTGGGGATTTTAACCCTTTAAATGCCATTATGTTTACATAACTCCACTGTTTTTTTAGGGAAAAAAACAAAAAACAAAAATAATTTCCATAAAATATAATTCAAGGTTTTTTGATTATTATTATTATTACCTTGTTTTAAGGTAGTTCAGAGCAGTGTTTTCTGTGGGAGATGGGAACTCCCTTTGGGCTGGACTTTGGGCTTTTACACAAATCTATTACATGCACATAAAAGATATATAAATAACTCAATTAAGGAGAGGGAAAAAGCCAAAAATAATAATATGACCTCTTAGATCTTCCTTAAGAAATACAGTTGTTGCGTTGATCACACCAGCACAACATCACAGGACCACAGCAGTCAGACAGACAGCCATTATCTTTAAGCAGCTTTAAGCAGCTGCAAACACACATACAAGAGACTATCACACTCTCAAATCAAATACATTTCAAGCCACACACCCACCCACACACACACACTTACTTAATGAATACTTACGAAAAGAAAAACTTTCCAACATGACCAATGTTTAATGTTTTATTTGAATATGCTGTTCAATACAGCCATCTACTGAAGTGTGGTTGAATTACAAATGACTGTTTACTGTAACCTGGTCTGTTTTGTATGGCCAATGACACGAGCAGAAACACAAGGCTCGTTGGCTTAATGGCTACAACTGGTATTCTTGATTAAACTGGCATGCCATATACTATAGTCATAAGCTACATGTGCAAATAATGCTCTCAGCGGTAGAACAGTAAAACAGCAGCCTCAGTAATCTCTTTGGAAGCGCTCCAGCCTTTCTCCTTGTGAGGTTCTGAGTTGTCTCAACTTCCTTAATGGCTTCTGTATGGGTGAGTTCTTCCTTTACTATAAGTAAAGCCACATATTTCAAAGTAAGAAATCTAGATTGCAATGATGTACGGTAGGAAAGTACGGTGCATAACCATAGGAAAGTATGTATGTTCTGTTATTTACCTATCTTTAAAGGAGCAGCTGCAAAGGAAGCATGTTCCACTAATACCAAAACCACCAAAATCAAAAGTATATGGTATAACATGTCTGGGGAGAAAAAAAGCATATTAAATACATTTAAACATTAAAGAATCATATGTGTTCCTATGAGTACAGAGTATGTTATCCAGCACACACAAAGTAATTCAAAACTGACAAATCTATCTACCAAAATCAGCACCATTCTCCTGCTGTTAAATATTAATTTATTACATGTTCTTTCCAGCGTTACACTGTTCAGAAAACAACAAATGATCATTTCATTAGATTAAAGAAATTCTGACAATTATTTCCCCATAAGTCGGAAATATTAAGTAAGAGATCCACACAGGAACATTCATCCACATAACTTTAACAGTACCTTCAGACTGAACAGCACTTCATTACTAAGTTGTCATCTCTCCATCCCCAGTGTGCCTATTTTTGTAACAAAATATCTATTTCCTGCCTGTGTTGATCACTGTAAGATGTGTTGTGGTCCTTTCTTCTCAACTACAAATCTCCCTGTTTATGAGTCTTTCTTGACATCTCAAGGCTCAAAGTACAAATTGATCAATATAACTTTTATTCCCCACCCAGAATATACTAAAACATAGTCATAATGATCCCAACGGTCGTTTGTTATCTTCTTCTAACTAATAATAATCTTTATAATCTTTATTTTAATAAAGCATCCCGTCAGCACTTTACCTTTTACCACCCATTGGTTTATTAACTGTCACAAATTATCCAAATGAATTATAAAGATGTCTTAATGGGGCAATGCCAAACAATTTTCCTGCTCTTGCATTTTTAGATAATATTATTTGTTAAACAGCTGTGCACAAAGGGTTGGGGTCTGGGGTTTGGAAATTATTTAGAAAACAGGTGGTGATGTTTTCTGTGTTGTGTTTTACTTCATGTCTGTTATATTATATAAAATCATTTTCTGACTGATAATGATACAGATCTTATCGAGAGGAAACTGAGGTGTGAATGTATTATTCACTAGTGGTTTTGCTTGAGAATAAAACAGTACCATGTTTTGCCGTTTACAGTAAAGGGATGTAAAAGGCATATCCACATATCCACTGACAGACACCACTGATCTACTGATTAACTATTACACACTGAGTTCAGAGCCGGCCCAGCCACTAAGCAACCTTTGCGGTGGCATAGGGCCCCGTGGCCAGCAGAGGGCCCCCTACAGTCACTGCTTGCTAGTGGTGCAAAAAAATCACTGAAAAAAGAAACGTAAAATAATAAAATAAAATGAAAGACAGCTCTCTATAATATGCGCCATAATAATATTGGTTATTGAATTTAGTTATATACTATGGAAAATCAGCTGTGACCTGTGACTCCTGACCCTGACTGACCCTGTGACATCACTCGTTATGCTGGGTCAGTCAGGCTTGATGTCTGACAAGAGAAGATCATATTTGTCTGGACATGTAAAAAGACAACAGAAGAGCCTCGAAGAAGAGAGGAGGCAAGAAGATAAAGGTACGTAAGCCCACAGGCTCCATTTTCCCATCCTATAGTTTTAGATAATCAGAACTAAAGGTCTCACATTAGCCGTTAGCAATGCTAACGCTATGCTTGCTAACATGCTAACCGCGTTTAGCATCTCAACTTTTACAAACTGCAAAAAACTCATATAATATATTATACCATACTATATGATTAAATTATATTATTAAAGTCAGTTGATTAAGTTAATATTGTGATTAGTACTTTGGTCTTCTAACATTATCTTTGGAGTTGAGCTGTTCACATCTAGTGTTATAAAGCATTTCACTGAACAAAACCAGATAGTTCAGGTTTCAACAGGTCATGTCACCCAAGAAGCAAATCTGTCAGGTAGGGAGTGTGTAGTAGCTGTTTTAAAGGACTGATTATTGAGCTACATCAGGGAGCCTCCTCAAAAGCTGCCAGTGTTGAAAAGACATCTTAACTAAAGTCACTTTTTAAAAGGAGACAGCATCAAACTCTTACAGATTGTCTTGCATTATAAGATCCTCCAGATTTAATGCTACGAACACGTCATTTCAATTCAGTCAATATATTTATTGTCCATCAGTCTCTACCTCCATCATTGGTATCATTTAAGAAGCTGACAATGCTGGTAGGTTTAGGCTGACATCAACAATATCTAAACAATTATTCACCTCTTGCAACACTCAGTGGAAGAACAAAAATTACAAATTTTCTGTGTTAATCTCCCTCATAGTTCTACCTGTGCCTGTTCAAGTGGAGAGCAGTACCATCGTGTTTATACCACACTTGGCTCTCCAGTTTCTACTCCTCCAGTGGATCCAGCTGACTGGCCATCAATCCTCAATGACCAGTTACATGTTGATGTGGTGAGCCGTAAAACCAGAACCAGTTGAGAGAGACATTTTGACTTTTCCAAAAAGACACTCAGACAGTAAAAGCCTTTTCTATCATTACATGTTTAGATCATGTATAAAATAGTTGGTTGAGAAAAGATGCTATCAACTGTTTTGTATTTTTTGTCTCTTAAATTCTTTTCTGGCTGTTATTAAAGATTTAAGCTTTGGTTATAATCAGTTTATCAGTCTTTTCATTCAGAACTAAGTTCATCAGTGTCTACTGAGTCTTGCACTGCCATTAAGCTCAGTAGCACTGGTAGTATCATATGTTTCCTGTTAATAATATAGAGTTAAGTCTAGTTATTGTTTTTCATCAGAATCAGCAAACAGGTTTAAGAAATTTGCTTTTGTGTTTTTCTGCTAAACAAACATGGCATGTTTAAGAATATAAGAAAGATTTGTCAGGTCTAATTTAAAAACAAGAGACGTTGTTTCTGTGTCTGTGTATATAGTGACAACACCCGACAGTGAGAGGGGCCTTCAACTAAATTTTGATTAGGGCCCCCGAAGGTCTAGGGCCGGCTCTGACTGAGTTGGTATAGTTTGTAATTATTTTTGGGAATTCATTTATTTGACGCTGGAACAGTGTCTATCTAGTCTTTTGTGAGACCTTTAATAATTACATGATTTTTTGTTGTTGTTGTTTTTTAAATGTTTTTTGAAATTATTGGATAGGAACAGCTAAAGAGAGACAGAAACAGCCTGGTATCATCAAAAGGCGCCTGAATAACATGCCGATTTCTTACACCATTTGGCATGGTATTCCAACGCATTTTTTGCATTTCGCGTGCCATTTCACATCGTTTGCAGATTGCATTGACATTTATTGTGCAGAAACGGCTTGCCAACTTACGCTTACTGTCACAGGTAAAATCAGTGTGTGAGGGATATAAATAGCCATGAAAGTCCATGTGGTGGAGGGGTGGATAGTGAGTTGGTGAATAATCAGTTAAATACCTCCTCCTGCTGGTGTGTCGGCTTAATAGCAAGACAACTCTTTTACTGTAATATCTGCTCTGTTTTTTATAGCCAATGACACAGGCAGAAACACAAGGCTTGTTCTCTGTTCTCTGTAACATGCTACATGCTGTTATAAAGAACTATTCAAATACACCTGAACTGACATCTAAATGGCTACGAATTCGGATTGTTGACTGACGTGCTATAGTCATAAGCTCCATGTGCAAATAATGCTCTCAGCAGTAGAACAGTAAAACAGCAGCCTCAGTCATCTCTTTGGAAGCGCTCCAGCCTTGCTCCCTTCCCAGCCTGTCCCAGTCAAATGGTTGGAAGTCCCCACACTGATCAGGGTGGAAATATCCACCTCCTCCTATACAGTACTGGAGACATACAGAAATAATAATGATTTTACGCTGTGTATAATTTTCTGTGTTGATTGAGTGACAGCAGAAGTGTGATGATGCATTCAAACACATGTTCAGTGTTGTATCCTGTGGTCGGCTTGACCCCAGAGCAGATAGCCATGACTGAGCGTTCGTTGTTTGTTGCTCTGAATGTGATGAAATCTGGTTCAAACTCCACTTTTTATACAAACAGAAAACAAAACAGTGAGTTTTTCAAAGGCTAGCTTGACAAGAGCAGAATGATTTTATTTTAGCTAGTTCATTTCTTGATCATTAATTGACAACCTTTAATTTTGAATGTTTATTGAATATTTAATAACTTGCAGTTTTGTAGTAACTTCATATCAATGGCCATAAGCACCAATCCAGATTTATATCCACATCCATCCATGATGGTAAAAAAGCTCTTCATTTTCTCCATTTCCCTCCTGCTACATGAGTGTTTTACCTCTAGGATTGGGTCCGTATAATATTTTGGTGGACTCTCTGTCTCCATGGTCGAACACGATGGGAATAGCTGGCCCTCTGTTGCTAAAGGAGCCAATGTTGTATCTCACTGGATATTGCTGGAAGAATGTGATAATTTCGTCCTCAGTCATCAGGGCGTGTACCTGTAGACCTGCAGGTTTGCTTTGTTGATTTTTGTATTATCATCATATTCTATACGTTTGCCCATTTTTTTAAAGTTATAACTTGACATTACTACACTACTGAGTTACCAAGAAGAGCTGAAAGAGTTTCCCTCCATACAGGCGGAGAAAGCGGTTGTCAGTGTAGTAGCGGAGGATGGCTGCCAGTTTCCTGTGCTCCAGTGGGAAGTTGTTGGGAACATGCCATACAGACATGTCTTCTGCTACTATATCATAGTAGCCTGGATTCTGAAAAAGTGTACACACTATTGTCACGACAATAGGTCACATTTAACTTATTGCATTGTGTGGATTTGATCATTTTGCTCATTTTTCTTTCTCTGATGTTTAATATTTATTGACAAATAAAAAGACAAGTTTCCCATCAAATTATGTGACCCAACAAGTAACTTTGCCTATAATGCAACTGCAAACATCTTTAACATACTTAATCACATGCCTTATTTTAAAAGCATTTGTAACCAATAATGGTGCCTCCATTGTATTCAGATAAGGTCACAAATCTTGACCCCAAAGATGTGACCCAATGGAAAAAAAGAGGGTAACAAATCCAGCTATGTTGACAGCTATGAAGCAGATGTTTGCATAGGCCTGTCTGTAGAGCACTCACCTGTCAATATCTGGTTTGCCCTTTTTTCCCCAGGTATTTTCTGTACAGCACAGTCAAAATTTGTGATTCAATCAAAAAACTGTGAAGGCTTCATCTTTAGTAGCAGCTGTTAAAATAAAGTGAAATGTAAGCAGTGGCAATTTAACTCATATTCCCACTTTCCACCACTGCATTCCCGTGACTGTCAAGTTGTTTCTGTACCTTAAAATCACCTGAGGTGGCCCCCTCTGCTGTTCCAAAGGTGTTTCTGTTGGACCAGTTCCCGTCTCCATCTGGCAGTTCAGCATTGTTGTTCTCATGGACAGTCGCCACCAGCGTCCAGCCGCCTCCTGTAGTGGTCATGTCACAGAAAGTCTGATAAACCATGCCATTAGCAGTGGTCATGTAGTACAAGCCACCAGACAAAACACTGCCATTTACCTTCCCTGATCTCTTTGATCTCTCGATCAGGTTTTGGGTTGTCTCAACATTCTTTGTGGCTGCTGTGTTGGTGTATTCCTCTGAAATTAAAACCACTCATTAGAATAAGCAAGATAGCAGTGATTTGCGAAAGTACTGTGCATAAACATAATAGAAATGTGTGTGTGTGTGTGTGTGTGTGTGTGTGTGTGTGTGTGTGTGTGTGTGTGTGTGTGTGTGTGTGTGTGTGTGTGTGTGCGTGCGTGCGAGTCAATACTTAATGCATTACCTTTTTGTGAAATGGCAGCTGCTGCAAAGGACACATGATCCACTGACACGACACCCACCAAAAGCAAAACAATATGCGACATCTCTGTAAAAAACAAAGAACATATTAAAGATACCATACGTTATCTCAGACACACACAACACAACACTTCATTGGTAAGTCGTGGTAAGATAATTGATAGTAAGTTGTTATTAATAATTGGTAATGGTATTTGTGTTGTGTTTTACTTCACTTCTGTTGGATTTCCTTCTTCACTAATTGAGAAAGAAGTGAGGTGTAAATCATAGTCTCTAGTGGTTTTACTTGCATGCAATTATTTCATGCTCTATAAATCAGAGTGTCAACAACTGACATGATTTTTAACTACAAAAAGGCTGCGTTGACTGTGTCATTGGTGTTTAGATATTCTGTATTATACAAATTTGCTTAGAAAAAACAGCAGGTCTAAAATATACTGTATTTCCAAAAGAATAACACAATTCATCCCTCATGCAACACAGTCTTAATGCCTGAACCAAGCACAGAAACCAGATTCTCAAAAGTGAATCAGCAAAAGATGCTTAACAAGACCAAGATTCAGCATAACCAATCTTATAGCAACAACATATTAGCATCAAGACATACTGTTAAAAGCAACTCCAACCCCAAACAATCATATAGAAAAATATTTCTATGAGAAAACATCCTTATTGCAAATGAATGAAAAAGGTTTACAATGGATTGCTAGCAAATCAGCAGGATAATGAAGATAAATACAAAAAATAGATGCTGTCTGCAGTAGAGCAATTTTGTAATTGCAGCACTATTTTCTAATAGCCTGAATTACATCATTATATCTGCAAGTGCCATTTGTAGTCTGTGAAGCAGCAGAGCCACTGCTCAGGGACTGTGAAGAAACAGTTCTTACTGCACTCGCGACTGAAAATTATCATCAATGTGCCCTTAAACAATTAAACCTGAAAAAGATCCAGATTTTGAAAAACAAGTCAACTTTTCGGTGTTACCTCAAATTACTGTGTTGTAAATTCTATTCTGTGTTGAAAAACCTCCACTTGCTCCGCTGCTGGAATAGGATCTTTTTGTGTGAATAAATATTTGTTATGGTCACGTGATATTTGTGAGAGCAAAGTTTATGGTTGTAACAAGATATTCTCTTGTGGTCTAATGCAGTATTCAGATATTTATAAGTAAAAGTAGCAATACCACATTGTAGAAATACTCCAAGTAAAAGTCATGCACTTAAAACTGTACGTAAGTACAGTACTTGGGTAAAATATTTAGTTTCTTTCCACCATTGCTTGTAATTCATCCAATATCTCAAGGTTGGTGACAAATCTTATATACTTTGACTGAGAAACTGTTTTATTGATAAAGGCTACACTCACACACTCTCTATGATGCAGTTTTACATCTTGTTTAATTAATTACAATATGATTTTTATTTTTCATAAAGTGTACTTTAAAAAATACAGATGTCTGTGTTATTTTCTTGAACTCAGATCCTCTAATACAATGAATGTAGTCTGATATCTGAATTTTGCCACTGAATTCTTGAATGTGTCAGGGTCATATTTTGACCAGTAAGAAACAAACCATTATTCTTTACACTCAGTGTCTCTCTCTCTCTGATCTATTTTTAGAGGTTAGAAGGACACTGTGAGAGTGGGGTGACAGGCTTCCTGACGCCTAACACTAATAATTCAACTGCTTCACGCAGCAGCAGGAATGAGAACTGGCAGCCAGCTGTGCGCTCCCAGTTGCACCGACCACATGTGGCCGTCTGCTGGAAATATTTACATCTAATTAATAAAGTCTTTTAATATATAATTGTGGTTTTCCCTTGTGTTTTCTATCTCTCTTCTGTTCATTCATTTAAACCTTTCAAAGCTATTTCACACTGTTTTTTCTTAACCATGCCCAATGTAGAAATAAGGTTAAATCAACATTTTTATGTAAACGGATGAACTTGAATTTTAACTTGATATAATCTAATATGAATAGTACAAAAAAAGACCTGATGTACATTCAGTTTTGTAAAAATCCTGTTGAGATTGAAGAAACCTGCAAATTAACTACTGATATAAATACTTTAGTAAGGCAATATTATACTGAGCTCTGCATGTATATAAATTCATATTTAAAAAGAGAAAAAAGTCTGTCTGTCTTTTGCAACTTAGATGTCAAATTAATTATTTATTTTTATTTATTTTCAGAGTTCGGGAGCAACAAATACCATTGTCCATTACAATGGATGCTGGGGTTAATTACAACAGATGAACAGGTAACTTTTTCTGGCTTATTTTAGGTTTCACTGTAACCATTTATGAACCTGCATTTCTATTGGCCCTAAAAATCTCGATATTTCATGTTTCTTCTGTCGTCTTTTATTCATAGTTTGTAGTTCACTTTCTCTCTCTCTTGCCTTTTTTCCTTTCTCAGTGTTGTCAAATTTGCTACGCTTATCTGACTCAATTCATTTTTCTGCCAGAAACACTCTTATTCATTGACTTGAATACACACCTTCATAAATGAAACCCTCACACAAACAGAATTCACTTCTCAGACTTGCTCTGGGCGTTCTCAAACATAAAGCTTTATGTAAGAGTCGTGTGCTTATAGACATGAGCGTGAGCCAGGACTAAATCTGACTAAATGTGTTCTTTGTATATCTGTAATGAGGACCTCTCTCTCTGGAGCGTCAGGATTATTGCAGGAAACAATGCAACAACCTGATCTCATGTCCCTGATGGGAATTATAAGGTCTTTTGAACAGAAAGAGTTCACATACTGGATCAGAAGAGAAAATACATGGGAGGTCATGGAAAATCCATCAGCCAATAACATATAAAATAAATACAATACACAATAAATAAATTTTTCATTCAATAAGATATTTACAAGGAAATGGAAACATCCATTTTATACTTATTCAGTCATTTGTTCAAGACAAAACTGTCGACAAATATGAATGAAATATGTTAACATCTTTGGCCGTCTAGCTAAATATTGCTTTTTTAGGGGTCACACATCAAGTAAAAAGTCATTTTTTTGTTGCATATTCGATAGTTTTACTGCTTCAAATGACACAGTCTGAGAAGTCTTTGGTTTAACATCTGGCAGCTCATTGACCTTTTACCTGTGATGTTGGGTCACAACTAGTGGTAATAATAATAATAATAATAATCTTTATTTGTAGAGCACTTTTCAAAAACAAGTTACGAAGTGCTTTAACGAGTGTAAAGACAATAATACCAAAAAGACAATAATACAAAAACAATACAAGATAAAAGCAAGAAAACATTGAAAATACAAATACACGTTTAAGATAAATATAAAATTAGTAAAATAGAATAAAATAAAGTCAAATAAGATCGGGAAAGGCTCTCCTATAAAAGTATGTTTTAAGAAGGGACTTAAAAGAGTTCACTGACTCAGCCGACCTGATTTACTCGGGCAGGCTGTTCCAGAGCCGCGGGGCCCTGACAGCAAACGCTCTGTCCCCTTTAGTTTTCAGTCGAGACTCTGGAACATACAACAGACCTCTGCCCGAGGATCTCAAGGTGTACGTGCTGGTGTGTATGGGACTAAAAGGTCAGAAATATAACAAGGCGAGAGGCCATGAAGAACTTTAAAAGTGATCAATAAAATTTTAAAGTCAGGTCTAAAACATACTGGGAGCCAGTGTAATGAAGCTAAAATAGGGGTAATGTGGTCACATTTCTTTGTTCTGGTTAAAAGCCTGGCAGCTGAGTTCTGGACAGTCTGGAGTAGATCAGTAGATTTTTGGGTTAAACAAGTGAAAAGGCTGTTGCAATAATCCAGGCGTGATGAGATGAAGGCGTGTAAAATGGTCTCAGTGTCCTTAAAAGTTAACATAGATCGAATTTTTGCTATATTTCACAAGTTGATAAAAACATGATTGAACAAGCTTTGTGGTGTGCTGCTCGAAATTTAAATTATTATCAATCCAAACAGCAAGGTTTTTTGCAACAGGCTTAATGTGATTTACTAGGGAACCAGCAGATGGCAGTATCTGTTGTGCCATCTGGGACCCGATGACCAGGATTTCTGTTTTGAGTTCAGCTGGAGGAAATTATTTGACATCCATTTTTGAACTTCACAAAGGCAGTTGTTAAGTGAACTCAGCATTCCAGGGTCTGTGGATCCGACGGGCAAGTATATTTGTGTGTCATCAGCATAAATATGAAAAGAAATACCATGTTTATGGATAATATGTCCAAGGGGAAGCAGATACAAGGGGAAAAAAATGGGTCCTAAGAAAGACCCCTGAGGCACACCATATTTAACTGGACAGAACGAAGAGACCTATTCACAGGTAGGATGAAAACCATTTTAGGGCAGTACCAGAGATCCCCACCCAGTGCCTCAGTCTGTCTAACATGATGTTGTGATCAATGGTGTCAAAAGCAGTGCTAAGGTCCGGGAGTACCAGAACTGAGCACATACATTCATCAGTAGACATTAAAAGGTCATTGGTGACTTTCAGCAGGGCAGTCTCAGTGCTGAAACCAGATTGAAACTTATAATAATTTTAATATAATAATTTGTTGTTTTCCAGTACAGTGAGCAATTGTTTGGACACAATTCTTTCCAAAATCTTTGCAATAAAAGGCAGTTTTGAAATTGGTCTAAAATTTTGTGGGAGGGAGGGATCTAAACCAGGTTTCTTTAAAAGTGGGTTCACGCAAGCCGTTTTAAAATAATCAGGGACACAACCAGTAGATAGGGAGCTGTTAAAAACAGAGATCAAATGGGGCCCAACAGAATCCATTACTTTCAGTAAAAACTTTGTAGGTATTACATCAAGTGGGCTGGAGGACACTCATTTGTGATACTGTTTTTAAAAGCTCGGACAAGTCAATGGGATAAAACTGGTTTAAACTTTCTTGTGGCTGGTGAGGAACCTCTGAGTAAGAGGCCGTGGGGGTAATAGAGGCTCTGTTTGACACCACCTTATTGGTAAAATAAGATAAAAACAATTCACAGTCATCATTACTTCCAGCAGAGACACAAGGAGGGGTTGGGTTTACCAGCTGATCCACAGTCTTAAACAGAAACCTGGGTTTGTGTTTGTGATGCGAGAACACACGGAGCTTGGTGAGGCGGCATGAGTAACAGGCGAATCGCAGCTAAGAACAATACATCTGTGGTCAGATATGGTCATGTCCACTAATTCCACAGAGGAAATGCTGACACCCATGGTAAAAACCAAGTCCAGTGTATGACCACGGTTATGTGTTTGCCCTTTGACATGTTGTTTGAAGTTAAAAGAAGTGGCCATATTTAAAAAGTCAGTTGCATTAACATTGTTGGTCATCAATATGAATATTAAAATCGCCACAAAGAACAATTCTGTCATAATTTAAAACCAGAGTAGATAAAAATTCAGGAAGTTCTGATAAAAATCCTCCAGGCGGTTTTGGGGGGCGATAAATTATAACAAATATGATAGGTTGCAGCCCTCCAACTTTAAGAGCGAGAACTTCAAAGGAGTTAAATTCATCACAGCATAGTTGATGACATTTTAAATTTTTCCTATACACGCTCACTAGCCCACCACCACGACCACTGACACTCGGTTGACTAAAACAATCATATTGAGACACAGTTCAGCTAGCTGGCTATAGTCATTCATTTGCAACCATGATTCAGTTAAAAACATAAAATGTAGATTTGCAGACAAGATAAAATAATTTAAGATAAAAGTCTTACTTGAAAGTGATCTCACATTGAAGAGAGCCATTTTAAATGAGTTTGGTTTGGGTGCTGGAGTTGGTGCAGTTGTCTTAATCCTTAAGAGATTACTAATATATAATGTGTGGGATGTGCGTGATGATGAGAGGAGTAGAAGTCTTTGGAACAGCGCTGGGAGCAGATGGCTTTACATGCCAGCAGGTGGAGACAGTTCTTAGTGGCAGTGAGGCAGAGATCTGTTCAGTGAGCGGTGGTGTGTCCAGGTGTGCTGCATGAATGATTAGTCATTCACGTAGGTCATGTGTGGACCGCACCACATGCTATATGTGAGCAGCTAACATTTCTGAGCCCCGTTTGTTTGGGTGAAGTCCGTCTGTCTTAAAAAGAGACATTCTTTGAAAATATTAAAGTTATCGACATAACACACACCGTGAGCCCTGCAGGCGGACTGGAGCCAGTCATAGAGGCCAAAGAGTCTACTGAAGCGGCCAGCACCGACCAACTGTGGGAATGGGATCAGAGATAAAAACGGACTTTCCACACTGCTTTAAAAAGTTAAAAAGAGGTTAAAATCTGATTTTGTCAGCTCAGACTTCTGAAGAGCTGTGTCATTTGTTCTGACATGGACTATCACTCTTGTGATGGAGGACGGGAGTGATGGCATCCATGGTCCTGGAGTTTTTTTTAAATGTCAGCTGTGGTGGCACCGGGGTAGCAGTGAGTGGTAGCGTTAAAGAAACGGATGTTTCTGGTTATGGAGTCACCAATTATAATTGGAGTCACCAATTATTATGTGTGGTTGGGGAGAAAAGAGGATGACGAGATGCCCGTTGTGGGGTTCCAGAGCAGGACTGAGGAGAATCTGCTTCAACACTGCGTGCGGACTGAGGATGGAGTGTGTGAGCTGCCGAGCGTTGTGTTGGAGTAGCAGTAACAGACCTGAGAGGAGGGCTACCCGACGGTGCAGGGTAGAGACGGCCTCCGGAGCGTCTGAGCACAGCCTCCTTCAGGATTCTACGTCGGGAAGCGGAGGTTTTTGACCGGGATGAATTCTGCCTGCCTGCTGAGAATTGCATGCACCTCGTGGGTGATAACGGTCATGTATGCTTAGAAAAGAGGTGGATGCAAATCTCAGCAAGTAGCCTACAAAATTTGATCTGCCGAATTATGCATCCACCTCTTTAGGTCCTTTTCAGACACTTTGCTGTGCTCATTGATCAAACAGCGTTATCACCACATATATTTAGGCTACTAGGCCTATATTTAATGGTACTTCTACTAAGTGTATTAAAATATTAAAGACTCAACGTTCATAAAATATATACTTCGAATCATTTAACACCATTGATGGAACCCACAAAGAATATTATAGCGTTTAAAAGCAGTATTTGGAGGTGCATGAATTTCTCGGCAGGCAGGCAAAACGGTCACTGTTTGCCGCCAGTGCAGGAGACGTAGCCAGTGGAGGAGATGCAACAGTTTCGGCAGGCACTGTCCGCCAAAAGAGATCCGTATCCGGGAGACTCGAAGCCGCAGGTGCATCCGCTGGATGGACCGGAGTGTCGTTAGACAGTGCTGCATAGCGGTTGGAGAGGCCGATGTGCGGAGGAGAGGCAGCCCCGTCCGAGCCACTCTTGCAGCCACAGACCACCACTTCAGCCCAGGTTGACTGATGTTTCGGAGTCGAGCAGGAGGAAAGCCTTGGAAGGGTAGAGGGGTACCATAGCATGGTGTCCTGGATGTTAGCGGTTGAGCTAAGAGAAACAATCTGTTTGGCTTGTGTGTTGTCCAAACAATAATGCTGCAATGATGTGTTGAGAAGAAATCCGCTTGACACTGTTCTTGATCATAAAAGTTTATTAAATCAAGGAGTTCAGCATCAATTACAAGCTCTGCAGCAGCTTGGAGAGTGACCCAGCCCGATGGCCACTCTGTCTTTCTGTACATCAAACATAGCTTATATAGGATGTGTTTAGGTACCTTTTAGGTACCAGAGAATGGTTTGAGTCTGCAAAATAAAGCTCCAACACATAGAAGGGTACAGTACTATTCTGAGGTAACAAAACAAGGGGTTAGAGGTCAAATTCTATAGAAGGGTTCAGTCCCTACATAACCACCAATCACTGCTCTCCCCTTAGGAGGTCACTGACCCTCTGTCCTGCTGCTTCAGTGCTATTTTAAACTGTTATGAGTCAAATGCACATGTATTGGACACCACACTTGTACTGAAGCCACATCCATAAAGCCAGTCTCCAGGGAATCTTTGTCTTTAAGTTCCTCTGAAAGTCGTCGGATGTCTTCCATAAGGTCAGCAATCTTTTTGTTCCCTTTCTTAAGGAGTATGCAGTCCTCATGGGGCAGAGTTATTTCGGAGCTTTGTTGTGGTCAGTAGCGTTGATAGCGTTTTTACGGTCATCTATCTTAAAATCCATGTCGGATGACTAAAATCCTTAACCCACATAAAAAGTTAAAAACTTAAGTTAAATAAAATGATATAAAAAATGTAACATAAAAGTGTGGATTAAAACTGGATAAGGGTGATGCTCCCTTACTTTAACAAGGGAGGCTGCTGTTCCCTTTTTTAATCATGGTCACAGTTTTTCTCTAACCTTAATATCATAGTTAATTTAACACAAACATGACCTTACTTTAACACTAACACAGCCTAGCCAAGCACTAAATCAAACCAAAGCTCTGGGAATGGCCACAATCATGGATAAAAGAAACCAATGTTCACTGTCCGAAATGAACATCAGTCTCTTGCTGACCCATCCAACCAACACAACCTCCTCCTTCTGGGAACTCTGTGGATCTATAACAACATCGCCCTCCTTCCTTCTATAGTCACAGTGGACCAGATCATTCCTACAGCCACTATAGGGCTTTGTCACTTGAATGTGCCATTTTTTGCTATTTGCTGAAACGACAGATGCTCTTTTTATTCTTGGGTGAAAAGTCTCGAACAGGCTGAAAGTTACACTTTAAACATGGTTAATATGTTCTGGTAATATTGTCTTATTAAAATGTGATATATGGTATGAATAAAGTGTTCAAAAACTCTTCTTAAAAATCTGTGTATGCTAAGGCTTGGCTAGATGAGTTCCTTCACCTAAAGTTCACAAATTAACAGTTCCTTCTGAAACTCTCGATCTCTCTTTCTGTCTTGCCTGCAGCCTTGAGGACTTCTTTAAGGCTCACACCTACAAGGTGGGCAGGTGTGGCCCATTAAAACTTTCCCCAGAGAGACATGTTAATACAGTGAGCTTTTTATGGGTGATATGAGAATGAAATGGAGAAAGAATGAAACAAGGACAGTCAGTCAATATTAATAGATGTAATAACTTTATCAGTCCTCAAAGAAAGGGCCCTACATACGTCTATCTGTGCTGCACTCCAGTCAGGACTGTAATGACTGTTCTCACTTAGTAACCTACATGCAACCACTGTAAATGGGAGACGCATTTTTAAAAATTCATTTGACCTTTGTTTTATTAATCCTGTTTGGTATGGTGACTATTCTTACATACAGTTGGAAACGCCTACAGCTGATGGATGTGCTATGTAGGTTACAAGCCCATTAAACAGCGCATACCATATTGCTGCACACACATCCCCTCTGGAAACAATTATACGGTATACCGTACCATCTCCGTGTTCTCTCATTACTGCATTATCAGAATAAACGCAGACACAAACATTATATCACTGGTGCCTAATACAGATAATACATGTGTCAACTGCATACATTTTCAGGGAAATCGGAAATTAAGACCACAATATGTAATTAATTAATCCATAATATGTAGTGCACTTAAAAGGAATAGTTGGACATTTTTAGGAAATACTATTATTCTCTTTCTTGCAGAGAGTTAGATGAGAGGATCCGTACCAACCGTATGTCTTTACAGTAAAAATGTAGCTGGAGCCGGCAGCCTGTTAGCTTAGCTTAGCATAGAGACTGGAAACAGCCCACCTAACTCTGTCCAGAGGTAACAAAATCCACCTACCTGCACTTCAAAACCTCACAAATCATGACAACTCGCCATCTTAATATTTATCAATTGAGAATAACACACTTGTTAGGCTGTGAGATCTAGTGGCCATTTGATGGTAACAAAGGAAAAACTCAGGTGGCATAGTTTAAAGAGCAACAAAGTCTGCATAAGGAGCTGGTTAAGTGGGATGTTTCAAGAAATCCCAGGACCTCAGAAGACTGAAGTTCAATTCATATGTGAAAGAAAGTCAAAGTTGATTTATTTAGGCTACATCATGTGACTTACATAATGTACTTGTTTTAACACAAACCACAATCTTTTTCCCAAAACCTAACCAAACTACAACGATTTCACAACGCTTACTATGCATTAAACATCATGTGACTTAGGTCACGTGATTTAAGTAACATACTTAAGGTTCTGTACGCCTGACCTGTTGGTTGAGCGGACCTGCGTGTAAGAAACATAAACATACCACATACAATAATAATGTCAAAAAAGTAGCATTGCTTTAAATGTTTTAACAGCTAGCTAGACAAATGCTAGCTGTTTCCAGTTTTGTGCTAAGCTATAAGCTAACCTTATGCTGGCTGTAGCCTAGCTACAAACTTACCAGATATGTGAGTGGTATCAATCTTCTCATCTAATTCACGGCAAGAAAGCTAATTCAATTTCCCCCAAAAAACAATTTCTTTAAATCTTGTAATGTAATCACAACCACCAACAGAATATTTGCAGCTCAGGATGGAGTCATAATTCTTGTCGGCTCCATTAAGGCTTGTGGCTCCTTGAGGTGGTAACACACGCTTTCATATTTAACACCAACAAGGAAGTCTCATTAAACAAAAATGAACAGATGTTAATCTGTAGAAAGTTCAGGAAATGAGACTGCAGATCTCTCTCTAGCTATATATGTTTGCAGTCCCCGTTCCTGCATCAGCCTTGCTGCATAAACAATAATCACATCTTGTGTTTTTGAGGGTTGTCACCATAAAAGCTTCTGTGTTCTCACCGGTCAGGCCATCTTTCACAGGAACAACCTTTACAAATTATTTATGTTTGTTTCTTTCAGGAGAAAGAGGGGGGAAACAGAGTGCACAGTGCACCCATCAAGATGCGCAGCTGAAGGGTGCTAATGTGAGTTAGTTATGTAATCATTTCTAGAGATTTCATAGAAATCCTGACCTCTCTCTCCATGGTGGGGGACCAGCCTCACTAGTAAAAGTCAATGTCAGTGTTTTTCAAGTAAAAGGTTTTTCACTTGTTTAATTAGAGTACTTAAGCAATGTGAATTTCAGCTGTTTTATCATGAATGTAGCCTACAACATATATTCTATACTAACACTGAGACAGAGAAAATTATAGGACATGCGTCCCAGCTTTAATGAAGACTTTGACCATCCTACAGGTATCTTTCACATCATTTTATTTACCCAGATCTGGACATGTCTACATTTGTCTTGATAAGGAAATGGAGAGGTAGTCCTCACACTGAAACGTGCAAACTCCCAAAAAGTCTGATTCATGTGAACAAAAATGAGACAAATAAAAGAATAACAGCTCCATCTACAATTATCCCAGACAAATGTACATGCTCAGGAAAACTAATGTCCTAAAAAAGAAGAAAAGGACATGTATGGTTTTCATGTGCATGGTAAAATATGGATTAAGGGTGTTAATTTGTATCATGTCATTTTTGTCTAGGCTTTGTAGCCTGGTGTTGGTCCAGGTGCATGTTTGGCAGACCCTGGGATTAAATTAATTGTGTTTAATGCTTATTTTTTTCCTGCCTCTGTAACTTCGTAGCCTACTTGTCCTGCATACATGGGATTTCATAAATTGTTTCACTTATGGGCTCTCGGTATCGTTAGTCTGTCTTTGTCGTTACTTTCCTCAGTGTCCGTCACCTGTTCCGAGGTCGTCCCGCTGTGACAAAACATAGTCACCGTTGTGTTCCCGCTGTCCTCGCTTCCCCCGGTTTTCATAACACAGGAGACGCTCAGCTTTACGTTCAGCGGGCTCTCCTGCTTCAGGTGTCCGGCCTCGTTGCTCGCTATCACCGTCTCCACCGCTGCGCTCACCGTGGTCCAGCAGCCTTGTCCGCGGCAGCGCAGCAGGCGCAGGAAGGCGTCTCTGAAGTCCGCGTTGAACGCATAGATGATCGGGTTGAGGGACGAATTACTCCAGCCGATCCACACGAAGACATCGAAGGTTTTTTCACTCACACAATAAGGGCCCCGCTGGGCCCCCGGGGCCCCCGGTCCGGGACAGAAAGGCAGAGCGCAGTTCAAGACAAAGAATGGCAACCAGCAGCAAACAAATACGCCCATGATGATGCTCAGAGTTTTAAGAACTTTTGTCTCCTTTCTGAATGAGACTTTGAGCTCCCGGTGTGACTGACTAGTGCGCTGAGAATCAGAATTAAGACGGATACGAGATTGATATTGGTTGGCACTGATTTCCGTGGACAGGTGAGGTAGTAGTTCAGTTCCGTCCGAGCGGCAACTCTGCGCGTGTTCCGCCGCCCGCTCCAGGGAGGATATCATCCGGATCTGTATCTGGGCTATCTGGTAGATGCGGGTGTATGTGACAATCATGATAGCCACGGGAATGTAGAAGCTGATGAGGGAGGATGAGATGGCGTACGTGCGGCTCAGGCTGGAGTCACAGCTCCCATCAACACTTTCACCGCGAAACGTCAAGTCCTCCCCAGCCGGATCACCGATCTCCGCCCGGTGCCAGTTCAGCTGCACGGGGACGAAGGAGATGACCACGGAGACTGTCCAGGTCACGCCGATCATAACAGAGGCCACCTTCTTGTTCATAGTCCTCTCATAGCGGAAAGGGCTGGAGATGGCCCAGTATCGATCAACACTAATGACACACAGGTTGAGGATGGAGGCCGTCGAGCACATGATGTCGCAGGCCAACCAGGTCTTACAGAAACCTCCAAACGGCCAGAAACCAGCCACTTCAGCCACAGCTTTCCACGGCATAACAAGCACAGCGACCAAGAGATCTGACAGAGCCAGGGACACAATGAAGGTGTTGGTTACTTTTGCGCGCAGGTGCCGGTAGCGATAAACGGCGGCGCACACCGTGAAGTTGCCTAAAAGCGTCCAAATGATCAGCAGCGCCAGGATGCAGCCCGTTAAAACTCGGTGCGCCGGTAACCCCTTTCCGCTGCCTCCTACCAGTGCCAAGCCGGTTGTGTTATTCATTGTCTGGTCCTGCGCTCGGCCATGTCAAACTAAAAAGACACGAACGGCATCCATTCGTACCACTAACAGAAAACAATAAGCGGCAAAATAGTCACTCAGAGTGAAGAGCGTGCGTCCTGCTCCAGTAGGACTGATCTGTGTAGCTGCTCTGAGCGCAGAGCAGCTTTACTGAGGAGCTCATGCACCACCAGCTGGTCCTCACTGCTGACAACAGAGCGCAGAGAAGCGCAGGGCTGAAAAACATGTCAAGCTATTACCTTAACTGTGTTGATTCACTTTCATTCAACTAAAATGAATTAAAATAAAAAATGTGAGTGTGTGTAGTAATTTGGTCACAAATGACAAGGCATCCAAGATGATGTCCTCCATCGCACTTCACATCCCATCCAGCTGCCAACTTGGACTTATTGTGAAGAACAGATATTAGACTTATTCACCTTTTTAAGAAGTTATTTAATTTGACTTATGTCACTGGATCCATTCCATTAACTTGGTTTTGTGGACATGGATAGTCCTGTTTTCGCATTATGAATTGCTTTATTTCTATAAACAATGTTCCATCCAACCATCCAAGGAATAGCAATGATAGTGAATTTCTGAACGCATTTGCTTCTATTTTTTTGTCATTTTATCCAAAAGTTTTACAGGAAATCTTTCTCTTTCTTTATCATTTTAGAGAGCTTTGAGGGAACTTAATGTGGGCCTGTAAGTCTGTTGAAATAGGGTTTCTTTCTGATTTTCAGAGACAATAAGCAACAAAATAGGACATAGCATATAAACATGAAAGTTCAACACACATACTAAACAAAATACATCCAACACACATATTTATATATATCCAATATGTCCATAGCTGCAGCCCCTTCTTGTTATTAGTTATAGTATATGCTTATGTCTTTATGTGTGGTCAGGTGGATAGCACTGTGGAATCACAGCATGAGGCGTTCAAACCCCGGTTGTCCCGGCCTTTCTGCGTGGAGTTTGCATGTTCTCCCCGTGTCTGCGTGGGTTTCCTCCAGGTGATCCAGTTTCCACCACCCTCCAAAAACATGTTAGGTTCTCCAGTCAGTGCCGTTGACCAGTGAAACAGGCACAGATCTGGAGTTAGTCCCCAGGCGCTGCACAGTGGCTGCCCACTGCTCCCTTGAGGGATGGGTTAAATGCAGAGAATGATGTGTATGTGACAATAAAGTGTTTTGCTGGTGAAACATTGTACTAATATACTTGACTACATGTGTTTACAGGGAAAAAACAGGCCAGATGTCAGTTGAATTTATGATTTATTTTATTTTATTGCTTCATTAATGCAACACAAAATTACATTGCATTTAAACTGGCAAACATCTCTTTCACAAATGTACATAACTACAAACAAAGTTTGCAATCCATACCCTCATCATCATCGTCTCCAGTGGTGTCCAGCAGACAGGTTTCAACCAAAGCTCTCGTCACAGTGTAAGGGTCGTATTTGGCAGCAGGACGTCTGTCCTCAAAGTACCCGCAGCCCGTCTGACTGACGTGGTCAGGGATACTAACGAACACTAACATTACGACAGGCTGTGGCTGCAGAGAAGGTGTGGAAATTCGCTGGGAAATTGGAGGTACTGCATTGACTGGTGAGGCAATCCATGTTGTCGGCGCGATCATGTGGATGGTAGACACGGAGGTGCTGAGAGTGGCACTTGCTCAGCTTTCTGATTGCTTCTTCAATGAACCTGTAATTTCACAGATTTTATGCTTCTGTGGTGTCCAAACAATAATGCTGCGATGATGTGTTGAGAAGAAATCCGCTTGACACTGTTCTTGATCATAAAAGTTCAATAAACATCACAGAGTTCAGCATCAATTACAAGCTTGTTTTTAAATGTTGCCAGATAGGTTTATTTTGTAGTGGTGATTCTGCATTGGTACCAAATATCTTTACACCAGCATACAGACAAGCCCTATAGTGACAGATACTGTACAAACGTCTCTTCTGTACACTTTGTTAATGCCCACAGCACGAGGCACTGAAACCAACAACAAACAAGATTTAGTGAGAAAAGTTACAATTAAAAATCAATGTAAAAACTGTTTCTGCATATCACATCATACATTTTAAACAATACAAATAAATTGCACATTTCTTCATATTGCTCTCAATATACAGCATGTTTTTTCTAGTTCAATCCAATTTTCACATATCCATTCTTAATCACACCTGCTGTAAATGGGCATCCCTGAGGAGGCTGTCCATCCAAACCAAAAGAGTGTACTCCTGTTCCATCCTGAAACTTTTTAACTTCTTCCATGACTTTAGTGCACTGTGAACGCTGATTACCTCCTGTGTGGAAAAACTTTTTAAAAAGGTTTAAATCTGTAGGCGCAGCAAACCAAAGTTCAGAGTCTTTATACATGTAGCTGACACTGCTGAGTTACCTATGGCCACATTGTTGCTGTCAAGCACTTCACACAAAACCAGTTTATTTGGGTCAAGAGTGAAAGGACCGGGAATAAAGTGACTTAAACTGACTTCCCATCCATCCAGCTACATGTAGCACTCAATTCTGGGATATCTGTAAGGGATGGCATTTTGTAAGTTACAGGTAGCTTATAGTCATTTCAAACAGAAAAAAATCAAGCGCAATATTTATACATTTTATGACAAAACAACCTAAAGCCTTTTACAAATTACGAAAGGGACTACAAAGTAAAATTGTCATTGTTCAGAGTCCCGGTTTTACATTTTAGATTTTCTCCGGCGTCATCAATCCAAATGTATGTCATCTGACACTCTTCACCTTTGGCAAGAGACAGATAGTGCTTCTTGACTCTCTTGTGAAGACTGAGGCTTTTGATCAGGACAGACATTGATTGTCTCCAGATTCAAAGAAATGCTTCTCTTTGAATGTCACACTCATGCATACTAAAAATATGAGTTCCTTAACCTTTTTCCTCACAAAATATTTGGATATATTCAAAAGAGTTGAATATTGGGTTTTTATACAAATTCTGTATTTTGCATTCATTTTCACCACTTTAAATTGCCATCCCATCTGTTTGACATATGGAGCGGAGCAGAGGCAATAATCCTGTAATCTAAAGTGGCTATAATCATTATTTTAACAAAATTAAAATTGCAATATAAAAACAATGTGACGAGTTGTGAAACTACAGAGAATTACCACCTGAATCTGCAGCTACACTTGGCTTACAGAGCTTTATAGTGAGTTTCAGCTTACTGTTTAGCTGTCCGGTCTGAAATTTTACTGTTTTTGTTCAGCTCTCCTAACTTCAGGCAGTTGTTTTTTGGGAAAAAGCTGAAAAAACTGTTCAGCAAAAACACCCAAAGCAAATTAATGATAATGTCGCTCAGTAACTGCTGGATGTGTAAATAACAAATGTATGCTAACATGTTCGACAACCGTGATATACAGTAGCTGTTTCCTCCTTTTTCAAGTCTTTATGCTAAGCTAAGCTAAGCTAACTGGTTTCTGTTTGTAGCTTCATGCTTAACAAACAAACATGGGAACAGTTTCAATCTTATTCTCTAACTCTGAGCAAGAAAGCAAATAAGTGTGATTCCTGAAAATGTGAAACTGTTCCTTTCATTTTTGTTATACCTGGGACAATGTATTGTAATAGCACTTTTACAGGTGGAGGAGGGGCAATGCCACCTCCTCTACCTGCTACCTTCAGGGAACATACTGCCATGACAGTGCACTCTAAATTTAATACCCGCTCTTCCCACAGCTCTCACACTCACACATTAGCACACACTCAAACACACACAGGACATGCTGTTGTGGATAAAATCAGCCTTTCTGGCTGGGGACAGAACCAGATGGCACAGCTGAAGTTGGAGCATCGGTGAGGAACACAGAAATAGCACTCAAGCAATATTTGATCTTTATTAATGGCAACAGGGGTTTGTTTGACTACAGATTTAGATGATGGAGACAGAGACAGACAGTCTGAAGCAGAGGGTGGGGAGTTGATAATCAGATTATCTCCATCGTTTTTGAGAGTTTGTACTATTTTTGTGCATTTGCTGATTTAGGACACACTGGAATTACATCCATTTGTTGAAATGAAATTGCTTTCACATGGACACGAATGTCCTGTCTTTTCCTAACTGTGAGTTAATGGTTGAATCTAATAATAATTATTAAAATGTCACAGCATATTGTACCTTTACATTGCTGATTGATTACTAGTTAGTTGTGGTAACGGTGTTAAGGCCACTGCGTACGTATGCATGAAAAACATACAGTTAAAATAAGAGTATTTGCCTTGACATGCCGTACATGACAAAATAATGAATCTTCATGCTATTACTGTATACAGCAGGGAGCTCCAGTAGTCTCTAAAGCTGCGTTCAGCCCCACCAGTCCCATTTCCTGCAAATATCCAGTCACAGTAGTCACTACGCCCTGTTTTTCTGCAGCAGGCTTCTTCTTGATTGTCTTGTTGCACAGCTCTGAACCCTTCTTCTCACACATTTCCTTCTCCCTCTGCAGGTTCTCCTCCCTCTCATGTCTGAGCAGGTCCTCCATTTGCTTTTTCCTGGCCGCTTCCTTCCTATGCTGCTTCTCCAAGCTCTGGGTGAGTTTATCCAGCTCTTTCTGCAAGGCCTCTCTCTTCATTTCCTCCCCTTGTCTGATGGCCTTCTCTTTCTGTGTTTGTAGTTCCCTATCTCTTTCTTTCTTTTCAATTTCCAATCTGTACTTTTGGATTTGCTCCTCCATTGCTCTTCTCATGTTCTCCTCCTGCTCAGCTTGCTCCTCCAGCTTTTTAGTAACTCTGTCAAGCTTTTCTTGAAGAGCTGCCCTTATCTCTCCTTCCTCTCTACGTATCTCCATCATCCTCACCATCTCTTGTATCTTTCTCTCCTTCTCCTTCCTGGTAATCTCCTCCATCTCTTGTCTGAAGGCCTCCTCCCTAACTCTTGCCAGTTTCTCCTCCTTCTCCTTCTCCAGTTGTAGGCTTTTCTTCAGCTCCTCCATCTCCATCTTGCATTTTTGCTGAACCATCGCTAGCTCTTTTTCATACAGCTCTACAGTTGCTGCCTCCTGCTTCTTTTTTAACATCGCCTCCTCCTCATACAGCAACCTCCTCTCCTCCTGCAGCTCCTGAGCCTGATCATCCTCTGCTTTCTGGAGCATCTTGCTGCTGTAGCAGATTCCTCCGTTTACTTGCATCATGCCGTCCACTAAGGCGAGCAGGTCGGACACCTGCTCCTTGTTCTTGGAGCTCTGGTTGTTGAAGACACAGTACCTGCCCCCACATCCGGCCACCAGCTCGGCCAGATCTCTGCACTCATCTATCAGACAATCCTTCACAGATGTCCCTTCTTCAAGAAGGTTCCCATGGGTAAAAACCACCACAGAGAAACTCAAAGCATGGGAACCCATTGCATGTTTGATCTGCCGCACCGCCTCCTTTTCCTCCTGAGTGAACCTCCCAATCTGAATAACAAGAAGGAACACATGGGGTCCGGGGTACAGGAGGCTAACACTCCTCCTCAACTCCCTCTGCACCTCCTGTGGAGTCTGATGAGTTTCCAGCAGCCCCGGAGTGTCCAGGAACGTCAGGCGTCGTCCACGGACATCTCCATAGGCCCTGCGACAATGATGGGTGACAGAGGAGCTGCTAACCTTTGACTCAAAGACCTTGCGGCCCAAGATATAGTTGGCGGTAGAGCTTTTTCCGCTGCCAGTCTTTCCCAGCAAAACCAGTCTGATCTCAGTGGAGGAGGAGAACGGCTTCCTGCCTGAAGAGACAAAGAAGAAGAAAGGTTGTGTTCAAAAGAAAGAAAGAAAGAAAGAAAGAAAGAAAGAATGAAAGAAAAATCCCAACTTACCTGCACAATTGATGGAAGCTAGCTGCTTGCTAATGGATGACATGTTGTTTCTGGTAACTTGCGTCCATACGTTGAGAACAAAAGACAAGAGCACATTGCTATATAAACACTGTGGGTGTGTCTGGCCGATGACTTGTTAACCCTCTTTGAACTATAATCATTGCCATCACTGTGTTTCTAATTACAGTCTGGAGAAAGCGTGGCCCAATAGTCTGTCTCTGAAGCAGTCAGCACAGCAGATCTTATCTCTGAGTATAAACAATCCAGCCAGAGTTCATGGTCCAGCTGAGGCAAAGATCTGAGAAGCAGGCTGAGACGCTGTAGATGAGGGGTGCGTGATCAACATCCAACAGACTTGTCATATGATTTAGGGTCTCTTTATCTTAAAAGTTACTTGATTAGTTGGTTAAGGAACCACCAGGGATCAATGAAGTTGTCACTCTCCTGTCAGAGGTCTTCCACATGGACAATTTGTCTGATGATGAAAACAAGACTAAGAGTCTACAGAAATGCTAGTGGCTCTGTGAGGTTGTACCGTAGGCACAGACCTAACTGTGCTTTGAGCTACACCCTAATGTCAACATGCTACTATATTCGCAATGACGATGCTAACAGGTATGAGGTTCACCCTCTTAGTTTTTGAAACTTTAACCTGATGATGTTACTAGATGAGAATTCAGAGGATCGCCAAAGTTATTACAATTATTCTAATTAGAATTAGCTTAAAAATTTTATTAATCACTTTTAAAGCTTCTTTTTCATGGCTTCTCGCCTTGTTATATTTCTGAACTTTTAGTCCCATACACACCAGCACGTACCTTGAGATCCTCGGGCAGAGGTCTGCTGCCTGTTCCAGAGTCTCGACTGAAAACTAAAGGGGACAGAGCGTTTGCAGTCAGGGCCCCGAGGCTCTGGAACAGCCTGCCCAAGTAAATCAGGTCGGCTGAGTCAGTGAACTCTTTTAAGTCCCTTCTTAAAACATACTTTTATAGGAGAGCCTTTCCCAATTTTATTTGACTTTATTTTATCCTATTTTATTTTATATATATTATACCTATTTTAAACGTGTATTTTAGTCTCTTAAGTGTTTTCTTGCTTTTATCATGTAATTGTTTTGTGTTTTATTGTATTTACACTTGTTAAAGCACTTTGTAACTTATTTTTTAAAAGTGCTCTACAAATAAAGATTATTATTATTATTATTATTATTATTATTATTATTATTCCTGAGGGGGAATGGATGTGTGTACAAAAGTGCATCACAATCCATCCAATAGTTGTTGAGATATTTCAGTCAGGACCAAAGTGGTGGACTGACAGATTGACATTGCCATCCCTGGAGCCAACATGGCTAAAAATGTATCCAGTAACACAGGCTACATGATGTCTTACTTATTTATTGTTTTGACTGAAGGATTTCCCCCCAACTAATATGTTAGTGATTCATTGTTTCTACAGTGACTATATGGAAATACAGTACTGTTTTAAAGCAGCGGGCTTTTGGACACTTTGCAGAATGAGATATAGGCCAGAGGTTTTCAAGGTGGGATGCGAGCCTCCCCGTTGGGGCTCCAAACAGTTTCAGGGGAGGCTCAGTGGAAAAAAAATTAGTTATCAAAATGAGATCACACTGAATAGCCTGTGTGTGATCAGGTCGAACAGATAGTTCAGAGATATGTTTTAGGGAAGTTTACTGTCTTTCCTACCTTCCCAGAATCAGAAACTAATAAACTGTGTCTATCATCAAGCTGTCTATTTATGTTATTATGGAGTCAGATCAGTCTCACAATTAATAAATGCACACAGAAGGATTCACAAATGTTGCTTCTCAACAACTGCTTCTCATTTGTGAACTTCACTGCATTTCAAATAGATTTTTTTCAACAGGGGAATTATCAGTCAGATGGGTCTTTCCGTTTCAGCCAATCACATAAGCATGGAGTCGAGGATACTATCCACGGGTCAACCTCAACATGGAGTCTGGTAAGTGATAACTCTTCTGTCGTGCATGATTAAATGTGTTTGCTTTATGATGCTAGTGATGTGGCATTTCACACTACTGTTAGTTAACAAGTGAGCTGTGCTCATAGAAAATCTAAGATCATCCATTAGCTAGCTAATTTAGCAAACATTCATAACTCTTGTGAGATGTGTCTGTGCTACTGCCGGCTTGCAGCAGGTTCTGATTCATTCAAACAGTAGAAAATGTCAAAAACAGGGAATAACATTTCACAGCAGAGATGTTATTTTACAATATACCATAAAACTTCAATTATAAGGAGAGTCCCAATTAGACGCCTCTCCCTTTTATTGGCCTGGTGTGGCTACATGTTTTGACAAATCAACGCAGGTCTCAATTATATGCCTGGTCTGGTTTTTATAGAAGTCCTTTGGATATATAAAACCTCTTAAAGCCTACTGGGTCGGCGGCATGAGCAAGTTTTAAGCTGCTTAGATCACAATATACAAATATAAATGTTTTGAAATAAACTTTTGTCAATATGGCCATGCTACACATGGTAAGATCGGTTAGATTCTCCAAAATTGAACTGTGTTAATTTTACAGAAACAATTCAGATTTACCAGATGGTGAAAAAAAAGAAACAAAAAAAGGACACATTTTTATACAAGTAATATTCATACTGGTTGAAATAAACAATTTGATAGTGGCCTATTTTCCAGTGATCTGAGCAAGAATTTTGCGCGAAAGGGACTAAAGTCCGGTGAATCTCAATATTGAGACTGATTTGACTCAATATACTGTTTATCCCCTTAACACCGTCGCGATTTTGCATCATACTGCTTCCATTCAGACTGCAGCCGAGATAGTGTATGTATTCCCACAATGCCAGTTGTGTATATTCAATACGTACCAAGGAACCTTTTGCAAGCATCCATTTATCCCTGTTGTCACTAATTTGCATCATATCTAAATTTATATCTATTCTATGTGCTCTACACAAATTAATAATCTCCACTTAATTTAGCATCAGCTTGAAAGCAAAAAGTAAAATAATAATTTTTTTATATAATTGTAAACACATTCAGGCGACAAGAGGATATTAGAAATTTAATAAATAAATATACTTACATGTTCACTTTGTTATGAATGGAGTAAATTCATTCATACCCTCAATCAGTAAGTGAATCCTCTATGATTTTAGTTATCTGCCCCCTAGAGGCTCTTGGGGAAATGGAGATGTCTAAAGAAACTAAATCAGGTTCAGTCACTCGCCTGCCTCTGTGTAGAGCTTCATGTCTGTGACGCGATGTGTGTGTGTGTGTGTGTGTGTGTGCCTTTGATCATGGTTTACATGACAGCGCTGATTACATACATTAGCCTTGTGAAGATTTATCTGCCCATTCTCCCCCTCCTGCTACTGAGTGATTTATGTATTCATCTGTATGACTATTGCACTTTATATAAATAAAGTTTATTATTATTAATGCTGGATATTTGTTTATCTTTCTAATGAGATCAAGGGAAATGACCACAGGTGTATGCAAAACCAAAGATTTTACAGAAAAAGTATTAGGCAATGAAGAGACTTTAACAAATCAGAAATGGACAGTTTTGCAAAATGTAAACGTACATCGTGTATAACAGATTAGATTTGTATCATAACACAAACTTCTGGTACAGTGAGTAAAACCATATTTAATAACAAGATATCAAAGGTTTATTTTTTTACTGGTCCAATGAGCGTAAGTTAGTCAAAAGGTACAGTCAATCTACTGTTTATGCTCTGGAGGTAGGCTTTAAGGTTAATGGTTAAAAAGTGAGGGTCTTTGTACAGTAAGAAAGGTAAACATTTGCCGTTTTTCTCTCCCAGTCAGACATTCAAGTATTCACAAGTTATGTAAACCATTTTTTTAACATCTAGACTAGGAAAACACTTCATTTTCACATGACTTTAATGTCTTTATCGTGCACGCTTTTCCATGATGATCAGTATAAGAAAGGACATGAGATAATGCTCTATTTAATTCTTGATTGTTGGTGATGACTCTGCAGTTCAATGTCTTTCTTGTGGTTGTATTTTGTCTGACAGCTGCCACAGAAACAAACAAAGGAAATTTCCGAAAGGATGCTTACTAAGTTTGTCAAGCATCATCTGGTTGCCTAAAACGCAATGTAAGTAATGTAATGCCTATAGCTGGATGTCTGGCTGTTCGCTCATCAATAATGGAGAGCATGTTCAAGTGGAGGCCTAGATTGTCTTACCGCTCCACTGCTCTGTCACACATGTGAGCGCACCTGATGTTAGCTAACTGATAGCCTTTGATGAATTTTGCTGTTTGTGTGCTTGTGTGGTTAAACGGATGTTTTGGGTGCAGTGACCTCTGTCCTCTTTATGTCAAAGCAAAAAAACAACAATGAACCTACACAGCCACACACACAAAACACAATACTGACATATCAAATACTATTTCTTTGTAGACAAAAGAGTTTTGATTTATCTGGTGTTGCATTAAAATAAAAATGAGGCGACTTGAGTAACACTGAGGTCCAGCAAAGACCTCATGGTAAAAAGATGATGGGGAGGATGTCAGGATGCCTTGGCGATGATGAGGATGCTCATGAGGAAGACCATCACAAAGAAGATCCACATGAAAAACCTATCCATCACCTTGGCGACCTTTTTCCACTCTGCTGCCTTGACGCAATTGGCTCTCTGCTCACGGAAGCAGTTGGCGATGAACTGGATGTTCTTCACCACCTGAGGAAGAGATGGATAAATGAGCCAAAGCGAGCACTTGAAGAAACTTTAGAAGAAGAGGAGCAATCAGGTAAGTAGGTAACGTGAGTAAGTGGAGAAACAGCATGCTGTGGAGAAGCACCTGTTTATGTTGGAGGCAGGGGCAGCAGCAGGGGCAGGATGGGACTTGAAGCTTCTCTGTGGAATAGAGGAGCTGCTCTTTCAGCCCTCCATTCAGGTGCTGGAGGTTTGGTGGATGAGGAGGGGCCTGGTAGTTTAGTTCATCCTTCCTGATGTGGTGGTGGCGCTGTGTGGGCTCTTGCTTTCCCTCCCCCCGCTCCAGTCTGGAAGCGTGGTTGGCGTGGTTGTTGTAATGGTGACTGGTGCTGCTGGCGTTGCCGTTTGCCTGGCTTTTGTGATGCTTGTTGTGATGATGCAAGCCGTGGCCATTGCTGTACTTGTACGGGTCACTGTCATGGTGGTAGTCGGGGAAACGGTCATCAAGGTAGCCGCTCTTATCACTTATGGGGTCCTCAGAGTACAGCGGCATCCTCGTACTCTCCGCCGTAGTGCAGTTCTCCCCCACCTCGTAGACGAAGAAAATTTTGGACATGTAGTCTATGATGAGCACCTTAGCCCAGTGAGGGACCGGCTTGGCCTCAGCACCACAGAAATGAATGTTCATGATGAAGATGGTGAGAGAGGTGGAGGCTGTGATCATAGTCATGGTGGCTATGTAGTACTTCCCTAGAGGAGAAGACAAAAAAAAGGACAAGTTTGTAATGGGGAAAGAGTTAACAGGGAACACATACATAGCAGCCCTAGTATGTAGACTAAGAGGTTGAACATTCACATGCAGCTTCCTGACTTCATCCGCAATGATCTGGAAAGACACGCCAGATATATCTTGATACATCTCAACATAATTAATACCCAGTTTGTATCCAAGGTGCATAACTAAGATTTCTTATGGAAAACAAAATGAAATGGTAAAAATTATTTTAAAAAATGTATAGTTATACTATAAAATTATGGTATGGTAAGTCAGAATTTAGACTTGCTAACAGTGGTGGAGGAAGTTTCCAGATCCTTCACATGCGTTACATTACATTACGCAAAGGTAGTACTGATACTACACTGTAAAAATACAAGTAAATACAAGTAAAGTCTTGCATTGAAAATGTTACTAAAGAAAAAATCAAGAAAATGTATGAGAAATGCCGTCACAATAAACCCGGGGCCCAAAGTGACACCTTCACAATGCTTGTTTTGTCCAACCAACAGTCCAAACCTCAAAACTATGAAAAATAAATCGAAATAAGAACAAACAGAAAACCCTCACATTTGTGATTTGTGATCTCTGAAACATAGTGAAGCAGATGCATAACTTGCATAACTTGAGTAAATTTACTTGGTTACATTCCAACTTCTATAGTTTAAATAGATAAAAAAAAAAGGCAAAACTGAAAGCCAAGAATAATTCAAACCTATATAGGGCATGCTCTCTGCAGGTGGCATGCTCTCAGCCACCAACAACTGGAAGACAGTGAGCGCCAGCAGCACCGTGACCCCGAGGGAAACCTTCTCCCCTGAGTCGGCCGGCAGGTAGAAGCCCAGCGGTGCCAAGAACGAGATGAGGAAGCAGGGCAGGAGCAAGTTGAAGATGTAGAAAGAGGAGCGGCGCTTCAGGAGAAGGGTATAAGTGATTTCGGTGTACGGGTCGGAGCAGCAGCCATACATCATGACGTTTCTAACTGCCGGCATGCCATGACACTCCCACTCCACGTTGTCCACAAAGTCAGACAGGTCACCGCTGTCCATGCCCAAACTTATGTCCACCTGTGTAGAGAACACACATGAATACAGAAAGTTGTGGATATCAACACACATGCAAATATACTCATATCATGTGGATGCACAAACTAACAATGGATAGAATGATGGATAAACATTACCTTACATATAGTTTAAAAACAAGTAGGGCTGGGGCGATTCGTCGACGTAGTCGACATAATCGATTCCCTTGGACAAGCTGTAGCTACAAGACCACGCCTTAGACCGTCTAAAGTTTGGGAGTATTTTACATAGACAGTCTACAACATGGTGCTCGTTCCGTAAGCCTCATTGCAGCACAACTGCTGTCCATGAATATGTGAAGCAGCACAAACATGTGAAGCGAAAGTATCCGGGAGCACTGACAGCAGCACCGTAAATCGTGTTTACTTCCTCCACACAAGCACGGCACATGATCAACACGAGGACGAGGACACGAGTATTTCTTCATCGCCTTCATGTTAAAAGTAATTTCTGCCCCGCTGCTGTCATGGTAATGTAAAGGCCCATTTATACTCCTGCGTAGTGTCTACGTGAGAAACGTTACTTCAAAGCACGGGCACTTCCTGTCGGCTCGGAGGCATTGCGAGGCTACCCAGCCGACCAATCACAGTGTTTACGGTCCGCGTCGCCTCAACGTGTAGTTACATTTTTGAGGAGGTGCACGTCAGGCTACAGCGTAGGTGATGGCATAGGGTAGGGGGTTACGCCGTCAATTTGACACAGAAGTATAAATTGCACTTAACGCTACACCGTGTGTCGTCTAACATTTGGCCGTTTCATATTTTCTTATTTTAACTCCTGAGGGAAATATCGGAATCTTTAGATGCTAAATGCTCCACTGTGTTAACCAGCTAGTCGCTAACTGTGTCTGTCTGTTGTTTGGTGCTGAGCGCACAGTGTACAGTGAGGTTTTAGAGCTTTTTCACAGTAAACAACTGCCTGTTGCACTGAAAATGAAGCTATGACAGCGGTGATAGTTAACCAAAACAACAAAGTGGTGGACCAGACAGCTGAACAATCAGCAGAAGTTGACTATAAAGCTCTGTAAAACTGAGAGGAGCTACAGATTCTCTGAAGCTTCATCGCTACAAGCTTCCCCTTACACATTGTCAGATTGTTTTCATGTTGTCTATTAATACACTGTTATTAGAAAAATATAAATTATAGCCACTATGCGTGTTTCATGTATACTATAAAAACAGTTGCATTGTTTATATATATTAGGTATTTTATTGTGAAAACCAGCTGTGGAAACTTTGAAATAAAATGTGTTCTGTTGAAATTAAGCTAATTCCATTAAGGGAAAAATATAAATGTTTTAGAAGCCATGAGTGTGCCATGAGTAAGCCATGATAAAGTTGAGTCATTAGACCAGAACATGAACAGATAAACAAGATAGAAGGTGTGATCCCCTCTCATTTACCCTCTGCATAAAACACACCTGGTTGCCGTTGTAGGTCCAGGAGCCGAAGGTAAGGTTGCACGACTGCCAGTCAAAGGGGAAGTAGGAGACGTCCACCACACATGTGCTCTTTGTGATTGCTGGAGAGTCCCAGACGATCTCTCCATTATAACGCAGCTTCACATTAGTGCTGGATGCACCTGCGGACTCCTCATCTGCTCTACACAGAGCAAAAGGAAACATTTGTAGATGCATGCACTAAATCAGATAGACAGACTGCTGTTTCATAGGAACAAACACCATGAGTGTCAGTTGCGGTTTGACATCATGTGGGCACGCATTACAAAAAGGTGTATGGAAATATGTAGACACATTACCCAAAAGGTGTAGCATTTTTATCACTTTTCATTTTGATTTTGCTTTCTATTTGTTTGTCTCCTCTCTCTTTCTTCCCTGTTTTCTATCTGTTTCTTCTTACTAACTTGTTGTAGAGGACGATGTCCGGCTTCCAAACCCTGTCACTGGGGATGTTGATCATCTCAAGGTTGTCATACTCCTCCTTGTCCCACTTCAAGTAGGCATCATACCAGACCAGTCTAATCCACAGGTACGTGGTTAGCACCTGGTTCCTCTCATCCTACACACACACACATTTAAAAGACAGACAGTGACAAAAGAGGCTCACAGAGGTGTAAATTATAGTGACAGGTTGCTCCTGGATAACTTAATCAAACAGACTGGGTGCAATCCTTAATCCTTCAGTGCAATGCAATTCAGTGCTGCCCCCTGCTGGTCACTATAGGAACAGATGACTGAAGGTACAGTCCGTACAGCATGAGCATGAACACATTGGTTTGGTAGCTCTTAAAGTAGACCATTTACATTTACTCATTTGGCAGACACTGAAGCGGCTTACATTTGAGAAACAACATTTAAGCATCAAGAAAGCAACAAGAGCAAAGCAAATTAAAGGGGCCCTCCACTGATCTTTAGTCAAGGTCCATTCATCATCTTGTGAAAACCGTCATACATTGTTTTCTGTGGCTCCAGAGGAGCTTTGTCAAGTCTGACTCAGGTGACATCACTCGGGTATCTTAGCTTGGGAATAAACATGTAACTGAAAGCTTGAGTTAGAAATTGGGGGTGTGGAGCTTGAAATTAACCGGTCAGGGAAGATCTAACAAAACAGGCTACACAGTTACATAAAGCACTATAATTAAGCAGTAACTATATTTTAATATATTCCTTATTAATGTGGTTCTGTTCATCTTGGCATACCTTTGATGCATGCTATCAGGACATTTGACTGTGCCTCATCTGTAATTCTATAACTCTACTTCTTAGAGCATCTTCACCTTTGATTTAGTACTTTATAGATGTATCCTAATAACTCATTTATCTTAATTCTTATTTTTACTCTTGTTCTAATGATTATTCTTTATTGCACACCAGCCTTTCCAGCACGGCCTGAATTTAACTGCACATCTTGTATGAGCATGTGGCAAATAAAACCTTTGAATTTTGAATCTGCAAGTTTCAAAAGGGACCAAATACATCCTATCCGATTTCTGGAAAAATTCAGTATTTTTTTTCTCGATATCCAGTAAGTGTAGGCGTCCTATAGCCTAGCTTTAATGACATGTTGGAACAAGAAGGTACAGAATATGTGAAGATGTGATATTGACAACCAGGATGGGAACATTTAAAGACCCATCTGAAGAGATTATTTTGTGGTTAATTGGTATTGTATGTGGTCGGGGTGCATAGGTTTTATATCTCTAAATCTATGCTGGGTAATGATATGTATTTGAGTTTCCTCTGTACTCACCATATCTTTGATCTGTGACAATGTGACCTGCAGAGAGACATTAAGGGCTTTGTCTGTGTCCTCTACAGGTCTCAAAGCATCAGAATAGTCCTCCATCAGGTCATTCAGAAGTTTGCGGGCATAATGACCCTGAGCACCATGGGACACTGAGGGGGTGAGAGGAGAGCAGAGGTTGGGTACAACAGCAAAGGTTACAACAGACAAATTTCAGGGAATTGCAGAGACAAGAGCAGTAAACACAGCAGAGTTGGCTTACAAAGACAAAACAAACCTGAGTATCAATCCGATGTAAACATCAAACTGATCCATCATGCAGAACTGACCTTGCACCAAAAGGCTGATCCAAACCATCAGCGCTGCCTTCCTCATTTTCAACCAGTCACAGGCCGAGGGATCAATTATTCAGCAAAGCAGTCGCTAAAAAAAAAACAGGTCCAACTTCAGAGTGTCACTCTATTCTGATCTCCATTCTCACCCGCTGAGGCTGAGCGAGCCGAGACCACAGAAAATTCACAAAATCTTACATCCTGTCAGAAGCTCTGAATGCTTCGCTAGTTGTTAGTCGCTGTCACTGTGCCTCTGTGTGTGATCGCTGCTCTGGAACAGGACCTGGGGCTATCACACACACACTCACACACACACAGGTAGGTACACAGCAGTATCACATAGCACACATGCACTGGGAGAAATGCGATGCCTGCAGCCCTATTCACTTGTGTACATGACTACAACCAGCTGTACGACACACAGCCACACAAATACACATGACGAACCTTATTGCATTACACAGCTAATGACATGTGTCAGTCACACACATACAGTGACACTTTCTTACATATGCTCAGGTCATTCAAGATGAACACACACACAAACAGGTCAATGAGAATGTGACATGTCATACAGGCTACGTGGCAAAGAACTTCACACAGATCCAGGATCAGGTTTCACCCTGTCAATAGGAGTCTTTAACATAAGAACAGTAAAGCTGTGATAAGTGATAAGAATAGATTTCATCCTCTCTTTGTCTATAAATGGTTGAAGAGATCAGAAACCAGAAACAGAGGCCAACTAGTTGACCTGTGTTAAATTGGTCAGCAGTTGTGACAATCTTAAAGGTTTAGAGTATCTTAACATGCTGATTAACAGTTTTTGTTGACAACGTTTTCATCACATAGCATGGACCACTATGGAAGCATTTTATGTTTTTACCCTATGTCATGCTTTAATATTATCCATAAAAAGAATACATGTATATGAGCAAGAGAGCAATACTTCTCAGTCAATTTTACTTGCAAAAGTTAAAAAACAGACTTTTTTTCTGATATATGTTTTCTAACATATCTATCTAGAATGTACCCTGCATATTTATATTTATTGCAATCACTGTATTTCTAATATTTAGAATATATCTTTAATATAAGATGTTACAAATGTTGTATTTTTGCTAAGTTGTGGGGCCATTACACCAAAAACCTCAAAAACAAATCATCATGCTCATCTTTAAAAGTCTTTTAATCTACTCATAATTTAAATTAAATCAGTGCTTGGATTAAACCACTTCAAAAGAAAAGGCCAGTGTCCTCGTAGCATTCAGATAATCAAAACCTTTGTCTCACAAACGTATGCAACAAATGTCAGCAAGAGATGTTAGTGACATTTTTATACTCATTTACTGCAGAGTACTGCTCATTGTGATGCGATGGGTTAATGTGTCACTGAGTTTCTGTGGTACTTAGCTTGCATAGGACAGGTGTTTCCTGTGTGTGCGTGTGTGTGTGTGTGTGTGTGTGTGTGTGTGTGTGTGTGTGTGTTTCTGAAAAGGAAGAAAGTGTGAAATAGTGTCATTGTACCAGAGTAAGAGTCAACAAGGAGCTTTTGTAAACCATTTCTAACCATCCTCTCTGTGCTGGGTAAATGTGTGTGTGTGTGTGTGTGTGTGTGTGTGTGTGTGTGTGTGTGTGTGTGTGTGTGTGTGTGTGTGTGTGTGTGTGTGTGTGTAAAAGAGAGAGAGAATTGGTAACAAGGTAAATGTGTGTTTGCATGCTGAACATCGAAAAGAATAATATAATGTATGGACTTTACAAAAAGAAGAGGCACTATGCTGGCTCACCATCATAGTCATGTCTTACTGGTGTTATTAGTTCCACCTGTGCTGCTTCTACTACGAAAAGTCAAAAATGTCTGCTGTGAAATGAGGGCTGTTAAAATGACAGAACTACAACACTGTAGGCTGATCCACAGAGGTGAAAGTTGACTGAGAAAAATAAAGAATATCCCCAGCATCTTTTAAAGTCAGATAATTATGTATTTTCTGAGTGTAAAGATATAGGCTACTGCACATGCTTTATAATACATAATACAAGGCTATATACAAGCAGTGTGTGAAGAAGCACGTTTACTTATGTAAATGTAGAAATATAACAGTGTAGAAATAACTAGAAACAAGTAAATGCCCTGCATTCAAAATGTTACTTCAGTATTATCAAGGGATAAAAGTGCTTATTATGCAGAATGGCCCAGAATAATGTATATCATTTTACTGGATTATAGTTATTGATGTATTCACTTTAATGTTGCAGCTGGTAAAAGTGGAACTAATTTTAATCCAGTTAAATTTTACCTTATATACTGTTGCAGAACTTGTGAATCCCCCCTCTCCAGGGATCAATAAAGTGTTCTCTTATCCTACAATTATAATACATCATAATGTATTATTTGATTATATTTTGTATTATTAATCTGAATCTGAAAAGGAACAAGTATCTAAAGTTAAGAAATTAGTGTTGAGTCCTGTACAATATTTTCCTCTGAAATGTAGTGGAGTAGATGTATTTAGTATCCTAAAATTGTATTTAGTATAAGTACATTAGGTGAATGGACTTAGTTACCTGCAACTTGTGCAACATTAAGAATGGCTCTGTTGCATTTAGCTGTACCACTAAGCCATGTCAATGAGCCAGTACGTATGACACCACAATGCTGGAACAACACCTAAATGAAATGCAGCCATTAGTTGCACATGTGCTCCCCTGCTATGACATGTCAAAATGTCTGCTCCTTGGATTTCACTTCAGACATCCTTGAGAAGTAAGACAACCGCTACCGCTGACTGTGAAGTGGCTCCACTATGTACACTTCTGTACACCCTGTATACAGTGTGTGTGTGTGTGTGTGTGTGTGTGTGTGTGTGTGCGCGCGTGAGAAAGAGAGAGAGAGGCATATAAGTGATATGGCATTGTGGTAGTTGTGGGAGAGAGAGCACAATGAAAGATGAAAGACCTGGCCACAGCAGACATGTTAAGCATGCAAAACACTCAAAGCGCAGCGTTTCTCTTTGTCACTTGTGATTAAAAAATTACCAACATGCATACGGTATTAAAATGAATACTAAAGTTTGATCATGTGCTTATAAAATTGGATTCTATGTAGTAAACTCAACAAGAGTGTTTTTTTGTGAATAGATTTGTTAATAGCCTGGGTGTCTGATGTCTAGGAACCCTTGTCAGATGAGTCTAAAAGACAGTAATAATGAGTTTTATTGTACTAATAAATACTATTAATAGCTTATTTCATCGGTATGCCCTGAGAACTGCTGCGATTATTGTCAACATACTACGACAAGCAAGAGAGTTGGTGGACATGCACACACACTGTTCAGGTGATCTGAGGGTCCTGTGTGTAGGGTATACTGATACTCAAGTAATGTACATAAGCACAATTTTGAGATACATTTAATACTACAGTATACGTCTTACTCCACTGCATTTATTTGAATCAGTCAACTAATAAATGATTATGTATTATTTTAGGTTAAGCTATCCGGCAGTGATATCCACATGCCTCTGTAATATGAATGTGAATGTGTGGGAAAGGTTGGGTGTGAATCGCTGTTAGCACAAGTTTGACTATATAATGTATGTGCGTGTGTTGGGATGTGGTCAGGATGTGTTTCAGCGTATCCTTGAAAAGCCTGTACTGTGTCTCTCATCCCCGGCAGCTCTGAACACCACATAAGAGAGAAATGTAAAGAAAGAGCGGGAGAACGCACGGGGTTGGGGGAGGAACAGCTTGTCTGAGCTTTTTCCTGGTTGTTTGCTGTTACTGGTCGTCTTTATTTTCACGCTTTCATTATCATTTTGCTACAATAAATCTTTAACAAAGCCTTCATTTCCTCATGTTATCCTTTCACGTGCATCTTCAAACCCTCCCTTACATATACACAGAGACACAAATGTGTCACATTAACAGACACTGTAGATACTTAAGACATAAAGACTGCACTGGTGTGTTTTTTAGGCCCTAAGGACAGGCCACGTCATATGCATACGTCTGAAAGCCCTCTAAGGCACATTTTGTGATTTTGGGTTAAATAAATAAAACTAATTTGATTTGATTAGGTTTGATACAAAGGTTTAAAGTCATATCTGTGATCTAGACTACATTGCCTTACGTCTCTATCTATCTGTGTGTATGTTAGCTATGCATTGCTCTCATTGACTAAGCTGTCTCTCGCAAGCTTTGGTCTTTTACACTCAGATTACTCTATTTATTAATAGGTTATTTTTTTAGGTTTTTGAATACTGTATTAGAGACACAGAGTCCATTTGTCTGGAAGCGCAGTTTAATTTGTAAACAATCTAGTTTGACCTAATCATCACTCAAGAAATAGCATGTGATAATTTAGTCAAAGTCAAAGATGAGACACTTATCTTGCTGACTGCAGTCAACACACCTCCCAAAAAACAGTCAGATTCATAATGTAAAAAAGTACAAATTAAATGATTTGCATTTGAACAATAATAATGTAATGTATACATTAAACACAGAAAAGTCAATCAAACCATTTTGAAAGTCTTCATAATAAGACAACACAGACAAAGTAGACAGGATGTTTATGTACAAAATGTATAAATTCTACATTTTACAGCGTATATGATTCATATAGAGTTAATTTGGGTACAGACCAAGTGTTAAGTGGAGCATGGCAGAAAAGGGTGCTTTCAAAATGAATGCACACTTATTTCTAAAATCCAACACAAACTCCTTCAAGATAGAAAGGGATACCAGAGGGAGATAACACAACTCTAACTGGGAAGAATGACTGGCCATATTTTAAACACTTGTAGATTATTAGATGATTTTCCCAGTTTAAGTGCTACCTCCCTTTTATATTCAGTAAGTCATTCATTATCCGATATAAATAAAGCAAAACTATGTCATGTGATGAATCTTGTTTCCCCGTTTTAATTTATTTGAAGTGAATAAATTTTTCCAGTGACAAATAACAACAGGACCAGTTACATAGGTAGCAGGGCATGTCTTAATATTTTTCTTGCATTTTCAAAAAGGAGGTATACACTTACACACAAAAATACAATTCACAAAAAATCCGCAATAGCATTAACGTGTGGCATATAGTTTAAAAAAAAAAGTGTCAAAATTTGATATAATGTTGAAGTCCCTTTACTCTGCCAATATTAAATAAAAGTCTTAATTAAATCTTTAGATTTTCTTTATTTGTGTTTAGTACAAATGTTTTAAGGACATCTGGACTTTTTGAACGACTGATCTGCGTCGACTGTCAGCTGATGTCTGTGTAAACATTTCAACCAATACAAATAAAGTTAGTTATCTCTTAAATAAATTTGACAGATCATATATAATATTATATTTTGTGTATAT